AGAGTGTGTGTGTGTTGTGGCTTGTGCTCATGGTCCTCATGTTCCAGTTAATTCAAGAACACAGCTTGGCTTGTGATCAGGATTAGATTTATGGTTTTTGGAGGAGAGGGTTTGGGTTTAGGGAAGGCATTAAGCAAGGCAAGAAGTTTCTTTTAAAATGGATTAAAATGCATAAGAATGCATAAAATAATGCAGCGCTTGTTGAGACAGAATTAATGGAGTAGCGATGAACGCAGTCAGCACAGATGAAGCCTGAATGCTGCATGTTTTTGTGTTTGAGCGTCTCTCGGGTTCTGCTGCTGGTGACATGTTCACGCCGTTCAGTGCCAGCACGACTGTATGTCTCCACATGCGTAGAGAGGGACATATTGTTCATGGTGAGTCTGTTCACTGTTGGCTTTAGAGTCTGTCATCTTTGGCTGCAGTTGTTTGAAGCTGCTGTCTCTCCTCAGCGCCGCTGACCATCAGGAAATTACTCTTTTCTTCACAGCGTTTGAGGAAATGAGCTCTGATCAGGGCAAAACCTCCAGGCGTGTGTGTACGAGTGATGCTTTGTGAGTGTGTGTGTAATTTGACATGCATTGTTCCATCACACACACACAACACACAATATAAAACCCGATTTATATACTCAGAATCCCTGGAATTGCTTGAGATTGTTTCATCATGCAGCTTTCATTGCTCACACTGCGAACTGTAGAATGGTCGTTTCCGTGGACTAGACCGCTGGATGTTCTTCTAAGCTGGAGTCTAATGTCTCTGTCAGTCTAGAACCAAAGAGTCTCAAACCTGAGCCACCAGTCTGGAATCACACCGTTTTTCAAAACAAAATCTCAATGTAATATAATGATGATTTATTTGAAATTATGTTTGCGTTTCCGGAGTTAGGAATGGTATTCATGTATTCAGTATGCAAATACGGTGACATCATTGGTTAAACCGTGAATGCTGTCAAACTCCACGTTCATTCAAGATTATAAAAACCAAATAGAAAGCACACCTATGTAATTTTGTCCTAAAATGACCTACACAAAATATGTGATGTACATTAAGCATTTGAGGCTGGATTAATTGCAGAGAGGTGTGAAGAAGAATAGAAAACAGTACGATCAGTATGCTGCTATTCTGAGTGTTTCTGCTGGTTTCCATGAGAGCATTTTCCATGATGCTTCATTAGTGTTTGTGGAAAGATAAATATTAACTATTTCAGTGAGGCAGGAATGTGTGTTTATTAATTACTTACTCATTGCTATAGTATGTGTTTCTGAGTTCAGTAAAATATTTGTTTGTCATAACCCTTACTGAGGTACTTAAATCCTATGTGTGTGTGTGTGTGTGTGTGTGTGTGTTTATGTGGTTTATGAGGACACAAATTTGTATAATAACATGGGTATGACATAGGTATTACAACGAGAAGGTGATTTATGAGGACATTTTCAGTGTCCCCACTTTTCAAAACACTTATAAATCACACAGAATGGAGTGTATTGAAAATCTGAAATAGCAGAAAGTCTCCTGTGAGGGGTAGGTTTAGGGGTAGGGTTGGTGTAGGGCAATAGAATATACGGTCTGTACAGTATAAAAACCATTACGCCTATGGGATGTCCCCATAAACCATAAAAACAAACCTGTGTGTGTGTAGATGGTGAATTTACTGCTGCTGCTTCTGCTTGACATAAAGTCATGTTCTCATGCTGTGACTAGAATGCTAATAAATAAAAACCTATATACACACGTGTATAGTTACTCGGGTTTGATGAAAAACTGAATAATTCTGACAAGAAGCATCTTGAGATCCATGTGGTCTGAGTTTATTTCTTTTGACCTACTGCTTTAGGCACAATTTACACAGTGGGTCAAGAAAACGGAGAACTCTTTATATTATTTACATTGAGAAACTAAAAGAAATAATTTATTTGGATGACAGACAATTATGTTTGCATGTTTAATGCATGTTTATAAACTTTATTTCCTCCCTGCTTGTATTTTTTGCCAGTCTCTCGTAATGGGCTTGTAGCAGAAGACAGCGAGACTGTCTCGGATCAGATGCAGCTGCCAGTTCAAAGCGCTCTGCCGGATGAGCTGGGTCCCGGACCGGGCGAGACGGTGGAAGATGTCCAGTCTGAGGCTTCAGAAGCAGAGCAGACAACGGTCAGCGCTAGTGATGCTCCTCTGGAGGAGAGAGATCCAGCAGACGTTCCTGAAACATCGAGCCCTGAAGCTCCTGCTGAAGAGCATGCTGCGTCAGAACCCAGTGACACTACGCCTGCAGAACCCTCTCTAGCTGTGGAACCAGCATCAGATCTCACCAGCACTCCAGAACCCAAGCCGGCTGAGCTAACAGCAGCTCCAGAAGCCCCATCAGACGTGAGCTCGGAGCCCACACTGGAGCAAGCAGACACAGTTCCTGAAGCGAAGCCAACCGCAGCTCCAGAACCAGGTCCAGTGGAGCTTCCCCTGAATGTAGAGTCCACTCCAGCACCAGAACCCACTCCAGAGGAACCCGACCCGAATGTAGAATCAGCTCTACCTGCACCTCCAGAACCCATTCCAGCCGAAGTAAGCCCTGCTCCAGAACTCACTGTGTCTGAACCGGTCCCGAGTGCAGAACCAGCTCCTGCTGAGGATCTGACTGTGTCTCCAGAACACGCTGCAGTGGAACCAAGCCCAGCTCCAGAACCCACGGCTGAGGAACCGAGTCCAGCTCCAGAACCTACGGCTGAGGAACCGAGTCCAGCTCCAGAACCCACGGCTGAGGAACCGAGTCCAGCTCCAGAACCCACGGCTGAGGAACCGAGTCCAGCTCCAGAACCCACAGCTGAGGAACCGAGTCCAGCCCAAGCGACTGAGGCAGCAGTGATCTCACAGTCTGCAGAGGAGAAAGAGACCGACGCAGTCGCTCCAGAGGGTAATGCATGGGAACATGGGCAGATCAGCTCTAGACACTGTCTGGGTCAGAAATCCAGAAATGAGCTCTAATTAATAACACATCTGCAGAAACAACCTCTACTTTTAAATGATGTTTCTGATCATTTTGGAACAAAGCATCAGATGACAGGATGCTTGAGCAGTAAAATAAAGCTCTGGTCACTACACACACTGTAGTAAGGCAGTGCATAACTGATGCTGGGTAACAGAACAGAGATTGAGTAGAGTTCACTGCAGTCTAGACAAAGACATTACAGTATGACCCACCAGCACACTGAACATCTGCACCGTGCACAACAGCCTCGATGCTTCGTCACTGTTTGTGTTGCGCCAGAAACCACAATAATCTTGCTCTCTGTTGCCTCAGATTATGTCAGATGAGCGCTTCGCATGTCCTGTGATGACGGCAGCGGTTTGAGACACACGGCGCTGGGCCGTGCCACAGTACTGCTTAACACAAGCTTGAATGGAAATCAGTATTCATATTTTGATTCTGATACAACCATTTGTTTGAAATATGAGCAGGTGTGTGAGAGTGAGACACTGAATTCACTACATGCGTGTTTGTGTTTTTTTCCCCGCTTATTTGGGCTGACTGTTATTGTTTTGACGCTCACAGACACTCTGACTAACACCACACGTAGAAGAACAACAGACTTACTGCAGGTGAAGATCTCAAACCAAACGTCTCTGTGAAACACCTGAAGACTGGTCTCCCGGTTAGGGTTAGTTAGGGTCAGTGTAGCAGGTTTAGTTACAGAGACAGACGGGCGAATGTCACTGACTTCTTAAAGATCTGACTGAAGATCTGAAGATTATTGATCATTCAGAGCACATGTAGTGCACCAGAGATGCAGTATGGTGCATATGTATATTCCAGTTTATGAAAATATAATATTAAAGATATGCAAACAAGTATAAAACAGCACAGCATCAGCTCGACACGCGTCTTTACAGAATCGGAATGGTTCTGATGTATATTGTGCTGAAACGGTTGCTGCTGCTGACGGACAGAAATCAGCAGCATGTTTCTTGTGTGTTTGCAGGAGCCGCCGGTGAGGAGAGCGCAGCAGATGCAGCTGGTGAGACGCTCCTGCAGGGGTCAGAGGTCAAACCCTCAAACTGCAGTTTTCAGATCATTGTCTTCACACTACAGCCAATGATTTCTGCTAAAAATATATGCAGATGAATGAGCATATCTAAAGCCATTGATATGGAATAGTTTCCTCATCAGTATGTGGGTCTGAGTTATGTGGGTCTCATTTGTATATCAGGAAACTGTTTTGTTTTGAATGAAATAAGCACAAGCTCTTTCGTGCTAACCTTTATGTTTGTGTTGCAGTGGTCGGTGAAGATGGAGCTGATCTGAAATCCACAGAACCTGCAGATTGATGGCAGTGTGATGCTGTAAGACGTGCCTTTTATTTCAGTAGACATGAGGGTTTGGGCTTCACATAAGTTTGTACATAAATTAGTGTTTCTAAGTAGCGTTAGCATCATTAGCATTGTTGTTAAAAGCCACAGAAATGCCTCTGAGAGCGCGGGTCCCGTGGGTAACCGGCCGAGCGTGGGACGAATGCTTGTGCCACTGGATAAAATCACAGCATCATGTCCTCATCTTCAACTGAGTCAAACTCAACAACAATATTAACTCATCTGAACAAACACGAGCCAAAATTAGCCAAATTATTCTTAATAATGTGTCTTTTAATGGGTCAGAAGGGCTTCGTCTCTTTTATGTATTTAGTGCATCTTTCTCCTCAGACTGCAGATGTAAAGCAGTTTGACTCTTTACTTGCATTAATCAAAGGCAAACGGTAGTATATTAATCAATAGTATATGTTGTTGGGTTATTTTAGTATTGTTTGTGGTGACTGATAGTTACTGGAGCACTAATAAACCTCATCTGATCAGCTTTAAATCTGTGACACTGGAAGGAAAGCAGTTGCTCAGTGAATCAAATCAGTGTGAAAACATGAAAGTTGAACTCTTTATACAAATAAATCAAGCTTTTAATGAACTATGACATGATCTCTGCACGTCTCCTGTATGTGTCTTTTTTTACATTTATA